ATTTGAAAAGAAAAATACATTTTGTTTTGATAGTGAATCATTTCGATATTTAGCAGCAAGAAAATGTCATGTGGATTTCGATGAATTTGTAAAAGTGGAATCTATTAATAGTGGGACAACATCAGTGACTGAATCTGTACGTTTACTTCATTTTATTCTAAAGCTAGAATCATATAATTTAAATGAATGGCAATCAATTAGAAAAGCTACTCTTGAAATCTCAATGCTTGCTCGACCTCTTATGGAAACATTACGTTTAATACTTTATAATTGGAAATTATATGAAACAGAAACAGTTACTGAAATAGTAGCATTAAATTCGAATTTTGTTGAAAGTGAATTGTGTTCCAATTGTGCACAAACTAATACTGTACAAGTAGGACCATTTTACATAATTGAATATCAATCCGATAGAAACAAAGCAGTTAAACATTGTTTGTGTCCATTTGATGAAAGTCATTTTTTGATTGAAAATATAGTGAAATATGAATTTGTTTCACAGAGAACTGATTTTTCCAGCGATCAATTAAAGGATTCTTTTGATAACTTCCTGTTCAAATGCGATCGACTCACTTATTTCTTGCGACAAAAAGAACAATGGCAGCATATCGATCCATTTACGGTTATACTCGAACGATTTCTCGAAGAAGAACGACAGATTTCTGAAGTTCCTAATATTAATCAAACTATGAATAAGAGAATAGAACATACATTACGTTCTATAAAACAAATGCGCGAGCAAAATAAGAAAAAATTATTTGAATCCAATGAAAAACTTTCACTTATTCAACTAAATAAAATAATCGACCAATTAAAATCCGTGTCAGATATTAAAAACCAAATCAATAACATAAAGGAAACGCGTCGATTAAGAATACAAGCGAATGAATGTCATGTAACTCTACCACTAACTAAAAGCAAAGTATTTTCTCCATTTACCAATTTTCGATGATTTTTTTCCAATAAATTTAAATTTTATATAATCAAAATCTAATTTTCAATTAAATAAATAATCAATTCTAGAAACATAGAAATAAGAAATTCAAATGAAATAAAACTCGTAAGAAATATGTTTTGCATAAAACTTCATATGAGAAAATGAGTCAATCATGAAATACATTCTTGATTTCATAGGATTTCGTGATGAAGAGTAAAATTACATAACGAAAAAACAAAGAAATAAACAAGAATATTGATATTTATGAAAATTTAAATATTTCTTTTTAATAAAGTTGGTTGGAACGATGAGTAAACGAAAAATGCAAAATAGTTTAATACGTAAACATTTGATTTATTTCTTACTAAGCTAAACAATTTTAATGTTGTTTATATTTAGATAGATACATGAGATATGAGATTACAGAAAAGTTTCAAAGAAAATTGATTTCAAATTAAATTTAAATTATTTTCAGAAACAAGATGTTGCTAATCATAAGGAGATTGTTTTATTCTATTTACTTTGGGAAACATTTCTTCACTGTCCTTCTTCAAAAATGCAATAAGGAAATAGTTCATATATTAGAACTAGACGCTATTGATATACGGTCTTTGATCGTATATCAAAAACAGCTCTCATGTCTGAAGAAGAGTAGAGGGCTGAGTGCAAATTAATACTACTAGATATTTAAGTAATTGAAATAATACTGTATAGTAGCATTATAATAAACGACTATATCTAAACATTGTGATAATGTCTGTTTTGTTTCTTTGGACAACTAGTGATCATTTTGAGAAAGCAAACTATTAGATTTAGCGATGAAGATCATCACCATCATCATTCAGATCAATCAATTACTCAATATAATAGATCATCTCAGCCAGAACGCAGGTAACACACAGACGTTTTTAAAACTTCGAACGAATTTATCTAGAGAATGGTAAGTGGGAAAAACTTGTAATTGGTAACAAATATTGTTGACAAAAAAAGCTGAATTTGGCTGGTAGCTACCAGTTCTTCTCGTAATTACATTGAAAAATGAGCGACCTATTAAAAAAACATGAAGTAACGCACAGACATAAATTTTCAAGAACAAAAACCAAGGTCTCAAATTTTATCTCGTATTTGGCAGTATCGGTTTAGAATATCAAAATAACGA